GGACACACATGCACTGATAACATCACTAAAGGATATCTCTTCTACCACCTGGACACACATTCACTGATAACATCAGTAAAGGACATCTCTTCTACCACTTGGACACACATTCACTGATAACATCAGTACAGGACATCTATTCTACCATCTAGGCACACATTCACTGATAACATCAGTAAAGGACATCTCTTCTACCACCTGGACACACAGCCACTGATAACATCAGTAAAGGACATCTCTTCTACCACCTTGAAACACAGCCACTGATAACATCAGTAAAGGATATCTCTTCTTCCACCTGGACACACAGCCACTGATAACATCACTAAAGGACATCTCTTCTACCACCTCCTTTACTGATGTTATCAGCGGATCTGTGTTCAGGTGGTAGATGAGATATCCTTTACTGATGTTATCAGTGGATCTGTGTCCAGGTGGTAGAAGAGATGTCCTTTACTGATGTTATCAGTGGCTGTGTGTCCAGGTGGTAGATGAGATATCCTTTACTGATGTTATCAGTGAATGTGTGTCCATATCTCATCTACCACCTGGACACACATTCACTGATAACATCAGTAAAGGATATCTCATCTACCACCTGGACACACAGCCACTGATAACATCAGTAAAGGATATCTTTTCTACCACCTGGACACACAGCCACTGATAACATCACTAAAGGATATCTCTTCTAATAAAAGTTCGCTGTAGATTGAGAAGTTAGAAATGAATTACTCCTTTGATGTCCCACCAAATGTAAAGCATCACTTTCTGCAGATGGAGTCCAGGTTTTCCCATATTTCTTAAATGTTTACGTATTGTTTTATGAGAGACATGTAATTTCAGGGCCATTTCACGAGTGTGTTGTCTTGGGTTATACTCAACAAGCGTCTTCAAAATATCAATTCCAACATGTCGGCCCCTGCCATCACAGTTTCCAAGGCTAAAGTCATCTGAACGAAATTTGCTGAACCATCGTTGACACTTAGGAACGTTCAAAACTTTTCCATAAACTTCTTTGAGGCTACAGAGGCGTTGTTTTCCTTCTTTCTTGTATTCAAACGGCATTACATGCCGAATGTGTGTCTCGTCATGTGCCATCACTATAAGGAGTTAGAGTATACTAAACTTTACACACTATATAGAATACACTAACGTTTAACTATTATACGTGATGTACGTTTATTGGGGTCGGTTAATGAAAGTGTTCCAAAACCGACATTAACTTCTTGAAGACTTTCGTTATAAAGTGCGCAGTTATTCTTTGTTGTTTGTTATATATATATATATAGTTTTCTTCCTCTGATGGAAATTCACAAGAGGTTTTTGATAGAATTTCTATTCCTAAACACATCAAAGGAGCCGACTGCTCAGTTCTTCGTATAACATAAAGTTTGTTTTGAATTTCGCGCAAAGCTACACGAGGG